TCTTCGCAGAGGTTCTGGCAGCATAAAGTTCTCTATCTGCTGGACAAGTGACCTACATGACTAAAAAAAGAGCCATCAGCCTTTTAAAACTCTGGTATGAATGGCTCATCTTTGGCAGAAGACATCAGACAAAACGCAAAGCAGAAAATGGGAACAACACAGCAACAGCACAACCCTACAGCAGACTGCTGTGGCAAAAACCAATTCAGCAACAAAGTGCACCACCTCTAAGAGTTTCCTGAAAAATACAGGCTTTTAAGGCCAAAAGAGTCAACGAAACATATGTTCTCCTATGTCCAAAGTTTCTTTGTTCCTGAACTTCCCCCTGCCACTGTCCTGAGTTTTCACACCAAGAACAGGAAATGCTGGTCTTTGGCAAGTTTTCAGTTTGTACCACTGTAGTTAAAAACCTTTCTCACTCAGCACAAGCTTCTTACAGCATGTCAGAAAGTTGAGAAAAAAGCTCTGATCACGAAAACACTGCCTCAAAGTTCATTTAGGGGCGTCATCTTTCTGAAGCATACATTTGAGTAAGTACTGCAAAATGGGTTATTTATGTAAGTGTTTCAGAGCTAAGCAATACCCGAGTGAATGCTCAGTTCTGCCTTCCCAGACAAATAGTTTTAGTGGAGGTTAATACTGCAGTGTCATAACAGCACTGATATCACGGTATCAGACCAGCACATAAACTCAGAGAAAGCAAAGTTTTATTTTATTGATGTTATATAATTTTTCTTGAACACTCTGCCAGAATAAAACTAAATTAGGAGAGCAGCAAGGACCTCCCATCTCTCAAGTAAAAGGTGATTTCTCCAAGCAGTGCATAAGCGTGACATTTCAAGACTTCAGCCTGAAAGTTGGTTAGGAAAATCAGCCCCAGTCACCTGACTTCATCAGAACACCCTAGAAGGCATTACAATAAACTTGCTGCCACATGTTTAACTATGCTCTTATTACAGAGCTATTCTAGGAGTGCTGCATAGGCCAGGGACTTATTTTTATAGGCTTTGAACAGGAACAGTATCCCTTCAGCAGCCTACCTAGCATGAACGTTCAGTCACGCTGCAGAACACACCTATTTAAGAGCAGATTACAGACCTGACAAGAAGCTGGCCCTGATTACTGCACCTACCGAAAAGGTATCATTCCATATTAACCCCCAAAGCTCTACCTGTGCCACTAACTCACATTACAAATTGGAAATTATTAAACGAAAACTTCACAGCTGATGTAGATCAAGCTTTTTCTTTTAGCGTCCTTCAAAGCAGTACTTGTGTTTCATAACTTCTCCGGATCATAGCCGCGGGGATTGCAACCGGGCTCCCACGGCAATGACAAGACTGAAAACCAAACGGCTTCTGAAAGTCACAGCACCGCCATCTACGAAACCAAATCCCTCTTGAGAAATGACACAATCATTAGTTAGAGATGACACAAGAGGGACACAAGATAACCCAGCCAGGTATTCTTTCTAAAAGCCTTAATAGCACAGGTCACGGTCGTTGTGATTTGGGCATTTCCGCTCCTGAACTGATTACATTAAAAACGGAACAATTTTCAGCAGTGAAACAAACGTTTATGGCTGGTGTCGGCCGGGCCGCTGCGATCGGGAGCGGAAGGGCACGGCGCGGCCCGCGGAGCGCCGGGGGAGCGGGCCCGGGGAGGGAGGGAGGGAGAGGCCCGGCCGCGCCGATGGAGGCGGGAGCAGCCCCGCGGGGCTCCCGGCGCTCCTCGGCCCGGCCACCCACCTTCTGCTCCTCGGCCGAGGCGGGCTCGGGGCTCTCGGCAGACATGGCGCCGCGGCAGCGGGACGGCGGGGCCGGGCAGGAGGGAAGCAGGGAGCGAGGGCAGGAGGCGGGCGGGCGGCGCGGCCGCGGCTCCTCCGCGCTGCTGCTGCTGCTGCTGCCGCCTCCTCCCGCACAAGATGGCGGCGGGCGCGACGGAGCGTCGGCGGGGCCAGACTTCCTCCGCCTCGGCCCCCGCGCGCGGGCTGGGGAGCGGGGGCGGGATCCGCCTGCGCCCCGCGCGTCACGTCCGGGCCGCGGGTTCGAGGCCCGGGCTGGGGGGTGGCTCTGGGAGCCCGCACGGCCCGGTGCCCTTCCCGTTAGAATCACAGAGTTACAGAAACATCGAGGTTGGAAGAGACGTTCAATGTGGTCCAGTCCACCCTCGCAGGCGTCACTGTAACGACTAACGAACATCACCCGACGCCAGGGCCATAGGTCTCAAACACCTCCAGGGATGGTGACTCCACCGCCTCCCTGGGCAGCTTGTTGCACTGCCTGAGCAGCCGAACAGTGAAATTCTTCTAATACCTCATGTGTAAATGTGAACGGGCCGCGTCTCAGCTGAAGGCCACTCCTCTGGTCCCCTCTGGCCCCAGCTCAGCTCCCCTCAGCACAGCCGCCTCACCCGGCCCGTCCAGCCTGCACGGCCTCCCCACTCAGCACCCGGGCAAAGGGCAAAGAGCCTTTGCTGCTTGGGAAAGTCAGTTCTTTTGCCCCCTTTTAGCGATCAAAATACAAGGAGCTGAGTCCTCAGCAGCATTACTCGAGGATGTCTCAAATCCCAGACAAGAGCTGACAGGATAGGGAGGCTCAGTCCATTGGAACTCCTTAACAGCACAGGATCAAGTTATACTGAGTATTTTATTCCCTCCCCATCTCCTTTTCACTGTCTGGTCCTGGGCTGGAAAATAACCTTCTGTGGACTCTCTTCAAGAGCAAAAGGGAGGGGTTTAAATAGCCCACCATTAATAAATCTTTAGGGGTCCCTAAATAAATGGATTATGTGAACAGCAGGTATGGATTAGCACAGCTCAGGAGGGACTGCCAGGACAGGCTTTGTGCGATTATGGTCGGGAAGAACATGAGAGCAGGTCAGAAAGGTCTGTGAAAGCTGAAGCTGTCAATGATTTTGTCACAGCTGAATTGTACTAAATGCCCCACAAGGCCCAAGGAATGTGCATATTCCTCATTCGGAAAGGGATACAGCCAGGCAGATTGCACAGAAAAATAATCATAGGATGCACCAGTGGGTTTTTTCCTAATGATGAAAAAAGCCATGATAGTGGTGGGTGTGCCACATTTGCTTCTAGCAAAATTAGGGAGAAATGGTCTGAAAGTGTGAAAAACAGAGCAACATAGAAAAAAGATCATAAAAAGGATGAAGTTCATAGATTTTAAAAGGGAAAATGAGCAAAGCAGTAACAGCAGACAAGAATGCAAACTCCAGGAAATTCTTTCAAATCTTTTAAGGAATTAATGTGAAGGAAAACAGTTTCAAGGATTCAGCAGTTCCTTATATGCAGTTATTTCTTTAAGGGAACATAATGCAGAGCAAAGTTGGGAAATAAATTCAGAACCTCAGGAAAAGCACATGTTCTTCAATGGCCTCAAATACAAGAAAGCAGCCTACAGAAACTAGGTCAGTTTTTAAGGATGTCTACCTAAAGCAGATCACGAAGGCAAGGGGGTACTGAAATATTACTGAACAAAACTTTTAAAGACTGAAGTGTTTAATGTTTGTTTTTCTTCAATGTGGCATGATCAAGGTAAATAGTGTAACAAACAAAGTATAGCCTCTAGCTGGAATAAGGAAAGACTGGTTTGCAGGTTACTTTAATTACTTCTAGTAAATATTTTCAATTTGGATGAAAAAATATCCTTAAGAGATTAGAGAATGACAGAAGCAATCTCCAGTTAATTACTGGTGATTCATATAGGAACCTGTGAAAAATGAATGGGTTTCCAGGAGTCAGTTTTCCTGAATTTGAGTATGGGGAGGACAGAATACAAGCTGTATAATTTGGCTGTCAATAATAACTTGAAAAATAATCTAAAAAAAAACTCAAAAGAAACTGAGTAGCTAGGCAGGAATTCACAGTTAAAAACAAGGGTTTCACACAATCATCTTTCCTTTAAGAAAAAGGAAATAGACCATGTGGAGAAGTGGGTGAAGGTGGCTGAAGTTCCAGATGCCTTCTGGCATTAATGAGGCTTCTGACACTTTCCCATGCAAATTAGGGAAACTTAGATAAATCTTTAATGTGATGAAAGCAAGTTTGTTGGACACAGCTATGAATTCTTCAAACAGCAGTGCTGTGTTCAGCATATAAAATCTTGGGTAGTGAGAGAATAAAGTTCAGTAAGGAGAGCTACTATTTTGGGAACAAGCAGGTAGGATGTCTCTTATGCTGGGTTACAAGATGAATGCAAGTTGACATCTGATACTAAAAACCAGTGTATTCCAACAGGATGCATGAAGAGGACTTTAATCCTCTGATTCGGTCCAAAAGAAGAAAGCAAAGAGCCAGAATGATGAGAGGTGTACAAAATAAAGGCTGACTGAACGGTCTGGGGTTGTCTTAGTTATCAAAAAAAAAAAAAAAAGACTGAGAAGGGACATACAAGAACTAAATTGTTTACTTACAGTGAAAAGGCTAAGTAGTATTTAACTCAATTTCAGCAACATTCAGTTGGATGTTATAAATCCTTATATAACTATAACTAAATGTATATAGTATAACTAAAAGTTATACTTTCTCATGGTAAGTATAATTTATCAATGGAAGAATTACTCGTAGAAGCCATCGTTGGAGGCCCTTACCCACTCAAACATTTATTAAAAATAATTGTGTATGGTTAAGCCTGTTGAGGAATAGAGAAACCAATGATCTCTCAAAAATTAGTCTAGTTTTAACCTAAGCTTAGAAGGTCATGTGGAATTTTGTTCATAGTTTATGAGCATCCAGCATTTTTCCAGGTGTGTCCCTGTGTGAAAGTGTTTACTCAGATCAAGCTGTAAATGGAGAATGACTCAGTAGAATCAAAGTTGTGCACAGATAATCCAAGGTCACTTTCATTCCAAATCCACATAGGGACTAAATGTAGTTTGACTATTAAAGTGAATACAAATTTATTTCCTAGACATGACTTGTAGTAACCACATATTCAAAATCCACACTTCTTTGCTATTCAAAGCAAATTAATGAAAGAAGATGACTTGAAGAAGTCTATTTAAATAAAGTTATCAAGATACAAACGTTGCATAATGTCAGTGCAAAAATAAAAGGTTAATCTACTACTAATGGTGACTTCTCATTAAAAATGTGTCCTTTCCTCGTGTTGTTTTTTCACTGAGCATGCAAGCAAGCTGTGCACCATGACACAAATAAGCAGTTAGAGGATACATGCTATTTGCTTATGACTCAATAGCAGCTACACAGAAACTAGGACGCCCTCTTGATATCCCAGTCCAGACCTTAGTTCTGTACACAGTACAGCTGCAGTTGTGTTTGACCCTTCTGCTACCAAAAGAAACCTTTTCTCCATTTTAAAGGGCGCACAAATGACCAGAAACTGCAAACAATCTCTTCCTGTACAGTTTCCCCCGATTCTCTCTAAAATGAATGCTAGGTAAACCTTTGAAAACCTGGTGTAGCAGAGTGGAAAACACTGCTGACGTGGGGAGAGGACTCAGTAATATCTGAGCTTTGCCCTTCTGGAGCAGCAGTCATTTGCATGTACAAGATAGCTGATGAGTATCATCTGGAAAGTCCAGTCTCCCTTACGTTCCCTGGCAGACTTCCTGGAGATTTCATGATACACTGACTTCTCTCATCTAGGGGCAGTGCTGAATACAGAGGATGCACATTCATCCTTTCTCCAGTCTTCATCAGATAAGCATGGTAAAGGGCACCTTGCATATTACTGACACTCTAAAAACCTACAGCAAAGTAAAGAAAAACACAAGGTAAGACAGCTGAGAAACTCAGATCTTCATCAAATGTCATAAAGCTTCATTTCCATTATTAAATATATAGCTCAAATATAATCAAATGCTTCTAACTTTATTTCTCTCAGTTACACAGTTTAACACTTAGCATAAACTGTTCATCTGACTGTTTTGTTGTAGGAACACACACACATATTGGAAAATAGTCATATGCCCAGTGTAGCATTGCTAGTAAAACCTCCTATGGCCACCTAGTGGCCTACATGGAATTGACCTATGAAAAATATTTAGGATTACATGAAGATCCTCTCATCTAAAAATAAAACAAAAAGTACAAGTTTTATAGCTTTTGCATATATTTGAGATATAAATACTAATTTGTTTGCACAGTACATCCTTTAACACAATTTGAGAAATAAAATGGGGGAGGGGTGCAAATTTTATCTGAGGAAAACTAATAACAGAAAGCAAAATTAAAATGGCCCCCAAGGAAAGAAAAAAGAAATTGAGGGAGCAAAATGTGAATTGAATTAATGATCTAAATGAATAAGTAAGTAAATAAACAATCTGCAGTGTGGTTGCAAGTGTTATTAAATTTGGATGTGAGAAAAAATGGAAAATGGTACCATTAAAGAGAAAAAACAGCAAAATGCTTGCATAGTATGAAATGTTATGGAAATTCACCTGTTGTCCCCATTCTCAATAACTTAAATGAATATCACTTAAAACAGCACACAGATTAAAGACATCTGTATATATTTCAGATTTCAATATTAATGCCAAAAATACATAGTATGATTTTACATAGGATTTATGCTACATTAGAACACTAAAGACAAACATCACTTGAGTATTAAATGAAACATTAAATATTAAATAACTGAAAAATAAAATAAAAAGTGTAAACACTAAACTAACTTGGGAATTTGCTATTGCAACACATCCAATGAAGTGGTTTTAAACAGTACAAAAAGATTAGATTTAAGTATGTTTCCAGTCTACTTGGAATACACAAAGCTCATTCCAGAAACCTTTTAAAAACTGGTCCAGGATCACACAGAACCTTCTTTCTCTTGAGCGCTATTTTTATTCCTTTACAGACTTAACTTGATACTGTTGTCTCTACCAATCTTTGCTTGCAAGGAGTACTCAACAGTAAAATGAATACTTGACTTTGCCATTGTTTGCTAGCATCTTGGTGAAAACTGAGGATTTGTTGGAGATTCAGTGTAAGATTTGAGTTCATATGCAGCGCCGCTATCAACTTCCATGGACTTCCGAGAGAATAGGAGCCTTACATCTCTGTGGAGGTAGATCTTTCCAGATTTAGAACTCTGGAACCTGAAAAGATACAAATATCTGTATTACCTACACCAAAATAATAATATTTTAAAATTATTAAATAAAATGCACTCTTAAAACATTTAAGGCCAAAACACATTTGAACAAACAAAATTAGTCAGTTAAAATGAAAAGAGAAAGAATATCCTAACACTTTCAAACTGCTTTGTTTCTTTTGACATTTAAAGGTTCTGTTCCTAATCACCAATGCAGTGCACAGCTTTAAAAGTGGCATGGAATATTTGAGTTCACACTGCCATTATGTACATTGTAGACTAAAGTCCTCAGAAATCAGGAATGGTAGAAACTGTTCTCCAGTGAGCACTCCTAAAAATGTCCAAAGGGTGGGCTAAGCACACACAAAAAGGAATTTTCAACTATATACAAACTGAATATGCATTTCAGTTCCAGCAATCATATAGACAGATCTCATTGCTCTTTTTATGAATGTAACACCAGGAAGTTTACTACTGCTTTATACCACACTCCAAATAGAAGAACTTGTCTTGAGAAGCAGTCGGTACTGGGATCTCTGCAGGCAGACAGAATTTTTTTTGCACAGCCTAGGAAACATTTCTAAGAGACTGCAGTTCACTGGCCCAATCACCAAGCAAACAGTGGTCAATTCCTCAGCCCATTCATCTTTTATGCTGCAGCTAAACACCCTAATTTAGATCCTCCAAACCTGCAGGAATGTGCCAGTCCCACTTCCCCATGGTATTAACAACTGTATATAGGGAGACAAGATCTGCATTTCAGAGAACTGTATTCTACGGTTTTCATGTGGCAGAACTCTCTGATTTCCTTCTCCATGAAAGGCAGAAGAGCCTAAGGAGCATTTCTGACAGCAACTGAACTGAATATCAGTACCACTATGCCACAGCGACAGAGAAATGCTATTGCTGCTGCAACAGAAACAGAGAAGCCATTGCTGTTGGTATACTGTCACAACAAGATGATACCATGGCAAATGCTGAGAGAGCAGTGCATGCTGTGTTATCATGTATTACAATTTGCACAGATTTTTAATAGGCTTTTACATATTGACCCCATTGAAGCAAAAGCAGTATCTCTAAAATAAACCTATTCATAATTGGACTGAAATTCTGAGCAGCAGGAGAAAGACAAGTACAGAAGATCCACCAAGGCTTCATCATCTGAGGAAGGCAGGTTGCAGAAATGGAGTCTGTGGCACTGTTCTGTTCAGAGGAGTGGTGCAGAATAGCCTGTAGTCATCCCCACAGCCAGACAAAGGAAAACTCTGTTCTCCTAGATACAGCTGTCAAGGACATTAAATGCAGCAGGGTCCAGCAGAATGCTCCTACTGGCTCCCACACAGATCTCATCCATCACTATTTATTTGCTCGGTGCTGTCAGTGTGAAAGCCCTTTACCTGATAGGCAAAAGGGAGAAGACACTATCTTAAGAGAAGACTGTGGAGGAGAGCACAAGGAAGAGTGAAAGACACAAGAGACAAAGCAACCACCACAAACAGTTAACTCAGAATATAGCTCATAACACATTTTAAAAGGAAAAAAAAATTAGTGAAAGGTCTATTGCAGCAAAAGTATGATTGAAATTAATTCCTATAAATCTAGTTATCAAAGCACCATCAAAAAATAGATCTCAAGCTCCCATTTCACACATGGATCTTTCAAAAGAATTATTAGCATGGTCTATTTTTAAACTTCTCAAGCTTGCTCTTTTCTATGAGTGATAATCCTGCAAGACTCCCTTTGCTCAGTAAATAGTGGTTCCCTGCAACATGACTTTTCTGAGCATGACATTTCAGAAAGATTGAAGAAGGATAAGTGTGAGACAGCAGCAAAGTTCAAGGGATTCTTCCCATCTCTGCATCCTTACCTATATTTTTATTTTCTTTTAGACAGGTCTAACCTAGTAACTGGAATTTAGAAGTGTTGATTTTTATACTTGTAAATACATTGGAATAATCGAGATAAGCATTCCCTACATCCTTGCAAAATGGTGATGGAGTGGCCAGCATGGCACTGACTCTGGAGCTGTGGCAGCTCCAGTTAGTTTTGTGTAAAGAAATTAAAAAAGCCCAACACAACTAAGGTCTCTGACAGATGGTGTCCTAGGAACAGTAACAGCAGACAAATACAGGAATAATTAAACACACAAATATCAGATGCTAGAAAGTCTGGCAGAGGAACTTTACTGAAGAAATGACAAGTACAAGCACTAAGTCCCTACATGTATTTTGTAGGCCATCACAATTCACAAAGAACAGAGTAATGCATGGAAACAGAATAATCCTGAAAAGCAGGATAATCATAAAAACATCTGTAGCAAGATGTGTTTTGTAAGTGAAAAAGACTACACAACACAACCTATAAAATCTGTAACTAAAAGCATTAGGACAAGGATAACAATTTCTAGATAAGAAAAAATGCTGAGAGACCAGAAAGATCAAAAGCAGCTAGTAAATCAGTAATAGCAGGTATCTTCAGCTTCCACCAATAAAGGTCTATGCCACATAAGGACAGTATTTTAAAAAGTTTCTCAACACCCTGAGGAATCACTACTTTTTAACAACCAGTTTCAAGCTTACCCTCCATCGAGCCCTCAGTAACAACCCCTGTTTAGCTGTTAAGCAACAGCAACTATGCTCCATGCAATTCCTGGCATTGTTTCAGTAACTAAGGCTGTTGACCAAGCTTTAAAACCTTGAAAAATGCTGAGCTGTGGGCAGGTTAGCTGTTTAATTACTTTTACAAGGGTGCCAGAACGTGACCTAGAAACCCACAGATGGTCATCATCCCCAGAACGCCAGGCAGAAACGAGGCACAAGCAGAGCTGAGCTCACAGCTCTTATGCTCAAGTAGATTTAATTACAGGACAAAAAGTCATTGCTTCACATGCAACAAAAAATTTATCCCTAAAGCATCTTTAAAAACCAACTTAAACTGCAGGTGCAACTCTTGGGGGTTTTTAGTAATGAATAAAGCTCTGCTGTGTGTGCAAGCTACATTTGGTGTCCCAATCCTGTAGCTGTGGGTACAAGTACAGTCTGATGGCATACTGAACAGAGCCTCAGCCATACAGAACTGCATGCAGAAGCTGCACACACAATAAATCTGACTCTTTAAAGACTGTTGTAGAAAATCTGGCCGCCAATGTTAAGCTCCAGACCTGTGCAAGCGTTTTTGCTGAATTACCACTTGAAAAGGAGCTTTCATAATGTGAGTGCTGACAACTGTGATTAAGGCCTGCAAGCAGATGCGACCACAATGCAGCTCACTGGTGGTGACTTCATTTGTTTTTTTAAACAAAATTTCAATACGTAAGCCTAAGATGCTTGTGCTCAATGACGACTGCAACTAAAACTGAAAGGCTCTTCTAAGTCAACTTGAGCAACAAACAAAAAAATCTGAATAGTTAAAACTTTTTAGGTTTGCATAATTTTCAGTAAAGCAGGCTTGAGGAAACTTTTTGGCTTTTAAAAATGAAGCTTTAAAACCAACTTACATGAATTAATATAGTACTAAGATTTTTTTTTAAACTCTCCTAATTAAAAGCCATCTTTAGCAAAGAAGGCTACTCAGGACAAATGAGTCTTTTGTAAAACCATAAGTGATCAGTATAATTAACCACAAGACAGATCAACAGATCAACTTTAATATTTCAAGGAATTCTGCCATTCTTACATTATGAGGAAGGACCCAGAGCTTGGGCTTATCACTGAAGAAAAAACTTGTGGCATACTCTGTAGTTTTTCACTTTCCAAAGCAGCTCAGCATCATAATTATGATTTTGGTTTTCCCATCAGAAATGGATGCATTTCCAATTACGCATCATAAACCCATTAACTGATCCCTACCAGAGGTCTGAAAACTGAGGTGAAATGTTCAGATATCTCAAAATAAAAAGCATCACAGCTGCAACATTTCTGTCTCTCAGCAGGTATCAGAAATAGGAAGCTCTTAAAAAAGACTTCTAGCTGTAACAGATGAGAGAGCAGAAAGCAGGTTTGCCTTCAAATAAAAGTAATTCCTGATTCTGTCAACAAGAAATTTACAAACAACATTAAAGCAGAAACTGAAAGAGGACACAAGACCACTATTCTTCATGCAGGTATGCTAGACCCAGCTGTTGGGGCTACACACTTTTTCAGAATTTGCCCCAAAAGATAAATTTTAGAAGGTGGTTAGGTTAGACCTTGCAAGATAGTGTGGCCTGAAAGGCTGAATTTCAATCCAGGCTGAATTTGAGAATGAAAACACTGTTCAACAGCCTTCTCATGACACTATTTTCACACTTCAGTAAACCAAAACACTTTTTATGACTGTCAACTTCCATTTAATGGGAGAGTCTGGCTTAGAATCACTGTTCTAGACAAGGTTGTGTTTGAAAAGTCTGCTGGATAGAAATCAATGCCACTAAATAGGAAAAATAATATGCACCAGAAATAATTGTAAAACAATAGAGAAGTGTAAGATATTTGATTTTGTTCTGCTTGCTCACTTCAGAATGTCAGCTGCTGGTGCGTTTCCAAGTGCTGCAGACAGACATTTCTTACTACAAAAACACACACAAAAAGTCTGCAAACTGCAGGAGGACAGAATATACCCATCATTCCCCTTTGGTTCCAACTGCAGTTTCCAGAACACCCCAAGAGCAGCAGCTAGTTCCAGTGTCTAGTTCCAGGCAGTGCTTTGTAAATCATTCAAGGAAGATTGAATGAATATTTTATTAAGTGAAAGGCATCATCACCAGCATTGCATCATGAAAGAGGTATTTACATTTTTGCCACTAAACACTGTATTTTTAGGAGTAGCTCAAATCATTTTTCATTTTATAAGCTATTCTGGTGAAGAGGCACATGTGAAGCACACCTTCCCTTCCCTTAGTTTTGGCTTTTGCCCATGTAACATCCACTTTCACTATTTCCTCTAACCTCAAAAAAAGTGCATTGATTCAGGCAGAACAATTTCTCTCACTAAGAAAAGGTTTAAGCTTTATAATGCTATACAACATACTTCAATGCCAATGTTATGTTTTAACTTGGTTTCTCACAAGGACAACCCAAATTATTTATTACCTCTTTTTCCTCTACTGTCTAGCTTAAAGACCAAGTTAGCATTTTTTTTTTCTTTTCATTCTTTCTTATTTCTGTATGCAGAAGGGCTGGCTGGGGAAGAAATTATGAGTTAAATTTTGGCAGATACCTTTTTGTGGTTTTTGCTTGGGTTTGTTGGGGTTTTTTTGTTTTATTTTGGTGTTTGAACTTCAAGGAGCTTACCTCAGATGTATGAGGTAGCGTAGTAGCCTTTCTTCAGTCTGGTGGCTGTTTTCTTTATTGACATTTCGCTTGATTTCTCGTCTCACAGGAACAGAAAAAGTTCTTTGCCGTAGGAATGTTTGATGATTAGCTGGCATTTCTCTCAAGTCATAGATCACCACAAACATCTTCACCACAGTTTTGTTAGGGTTAAATAAGGTCTGAAAAGACAAACAGTTCAATACAATACTCTTTAGAGATGACAAATTTTTTTAAAAAAACAGCAAATCTAACTCAAACTCGATCTGTCAAAATAGTTAACTATGCACTTTGTTTTTGTGCCATACAGAAACATTTATGTAAAGACATTGTGAAGCCTTTCTGGTTTTCAACACTTCAGCTACCAGCAATTCCCATTTTAATTATATTATAATTATAATGCTAAACACAATCTAATCTGAATGAAACACTAGTATATGACTACTCTTACTTTGCTAATCAGCATCCCCGTTTTTGTTTATTTTTCCAGTCAGCTTTTTGTCTACACTGTTTTCCAGACACAATACACTCGCAGGAAGCACAGTGGTGGGCTCCGCTTTTAAACCTGAAATTATGAATGTGTTATCTTGGACTGGGTTCTTAAAAGAAAGAGTCACTTCACTGGTTCTAAGCAATGACTGCGATTTACTTAGTGATTTTATTACAAAAGTAAAGGTGGTGTTAAAATATTACAAAAAGTAGATACAATTATTCAATCTTAATTGCTTTAGAGGAATTTCAGGATTTGGACTGTGGCATAATTACTTCCCCATCAGTTTTTCAAAACCACAGTGTCCCCAAGTATTCCAAATCTCCTGGAACTGATTGTAAGCCTCCTCAGAGCACAGAAGTGTTCAAAGACTGGGAATCTTTTTTGCCCCACACACAGATTTCTACTTTGAATTACAGAGATGCACATTTCCACTGCTAGCTTCATGCTCATCTCCAATAAACTCATCTCTGCATGACTTCCTTAATATTAGTGGTTTCAAGGCACCCTTAAGTGCTGAGTACGTACCACTTGTATTGTTCCTGAAGGCGGTACTCGATAACCCCTTTTACCGAGGGACTCTAAAGTAATTACACCCTACAAAAACAAAACACATATTTAGGTCACAGAGATAAACAAATCAAAATGTTCTAGTCATGTAATTGCATTTATTTGAAACATAATCAGTAATTTATAAAAACTAAAAATAGATAAGGCAATGCATTTATGATGCAGTTAAAAAATCAACAGTAGGGGCCTTAAAGATACTTTGGCAGACCATTAAAAGCTGTGCAATATGAGGTACACTCTCCTCTTGAAACAAGATTCAAGTATTAAAGTTTCCACATCTTCTCCACATCAGGGAGCTAGGACAAAACTGAGCTTTCTTTTCAAAGCAGCTGGGAGTTATACCAAAACATTTGTCCCCTCCTTTCTATTTCTCTATCATCTACAATCACACCAATAATACTCCAAATCTCACAAAACTCATTTTTGCTTTTCAAAGGCAGCAGATGCACTTAATCTTCCGTTCTAATCCAAACCTTAGGAAGGATGACATCTGCTTTTGTACCAGCTGTGCCCCCCAGGCACTGGCCACACTGGGGGCAGTGCCACAGGTCTGGGCACCCTGCAGGGCACCAGAGCCGCACCCGGGACTTCAAAAACACCAAACACACACCCAGAACAAGACCCCGCAGCAGAGAAACTAGCTGTACAAACAGAAACAATGTTTCTGATGATGGAGGCACTACACAAATGCTGTATTAATCCTGGGAGACTCAGGCATAATAGCATATTTGGAAATAGCATGTGGAAAAGCCTGAAACAATGAAACCCAGCTAGGAAAATGAGCAATGCTACTTTTAACCATTTGAGGAACATGAGAATCCCTTCACCTCCTAGAAAATCACATTAAATAATCTAGAAAGATGAAAGCAAAAGAATAGATACCTTTTGCAGTGGTGAAAACATATACAAGTTTAAAGTCAAAGCCATTACTTAAACTCTAAGCAATTTTATTTTCTGAATACTTTCCAAAACAGAAGGTCAGAAATGGTAACTGCTATGAATTTAAAATTTAAATCTAAATACTGGGATACTCAGATATTCATTGCTTGACTTCCACATTTAAATAAACCCTTTACTGTATATTAGACAGATGTACACATATGAAAATCTCTAAAAATTGGACCTGTAACCTACGTAAAATTAAGGCTCCTTAACAGGCATTTAGAACAAATCCAACTTCTGATTCAATGCCAGCATACAAGACATAATTTTCTTTTTACAGAGGAGCACTTTTAGACATGCGAAGCCCATGTGGAACAGAATTAGCACCCAGAGACTGAGAACACAAACGCTGCATGACTAAACATCAGCAAACCATGCAGCCTGTGAGGGTGCTGAGTGTCACCAACCATGGCAATATCTGCTTTAAGAGAAAGGGCTGAGTAACTTCCAAGTCTAAGGTCTCCATCAGCCCCTTGGCCTGCACCTAAGCCCCTCTGCAGAGTGGTTAGTTGCCCAGAGCAGCTGCTTGTTGGGACAACAAAATGTATCCCGTTAAGTCCAGCTATTGCCTCACTGCTATTTTAAGTTAGATGGATAAAAAGAGATGTTGGAGGGTGATCACTGCAGTGTGGGGGGAGACAAATACATTCAATATCCCAAGATGAGAACAGTTGAACGGTGGGGCAGAGAAGTAGAAGGAAAATCACTAGTTAGGGAAAGGAAGAGGGACAGGAGAACTCTGTCATAGACAGTTGAAAATAAGCCAGATCCCTGCAAATCTTTACTTTCTGAACCCTCTACTCACCAAGCTCTTGCTCTTCACCTCCACATATCAGAACTTATTTAAAATAAATCCAACCACACATTTACCATGTAAGGAGAGGGAGCATTGTCATCTGAAACGCTGTAGAATGACACTTCAACTGGCAGAGTCATGTGCGTGGGACAAAAGACTCCACTTGCTCCCACCTCTGCTGTGAAACCCTCCACGACACCGAGCGGGTCCAAGCGGAAATTCAGGACAGATTCCTGAAAAACAGAGCACACACGGCTTAGCTTGGAACACCTCAAATAAAACAAAGCATCACTTCTGTAATAAATTCTGTAATCAGGAAACAAGTGCAAAAGCCCACAGAGAACTTTACTGCAGCAGGATCTATGCCTGATTTTCAACATATAGTATCTGAAAAAAATAAATTAATCTAGATTCTGTAACCTTCCCCAACAAATTCAACTCTGTATTTCACAAGACAGTACAATATAAGCAGCTGATGCACTGGCTAATAGCTGCTGTTATTGGATATGCTATATGAAGTGAAGAGCTGGAGCCTACACTTCAAACACATTCTGTTTAACACACTGATTTAATCCAGCTTTTGTGACCTACTAAGTAGACTTTAAGAGCAAAAATGTAAATCCTTTTTTCTAGGTAAGTACATTATAAACATGAACAATTACACGTTATTAAATCTCATTTATGGCAACAGAACATCTTCTAACTTGACGTAGTGGGAAACAAAGGCTTAAGCAACTCGTTGTATTTGATTCTCTGAGACAGAAGATGTCTGGGGCATGAAATAAGTGCCTTTACAGCTGGAAATGAAAACAAATTTTATTCAATTCAGTTAGGAACTTTCACATTCTAATAATGCTGGAATTGTTCACAGTAATATACTTTTAAAAGCAGTACAGAAGACCATTAAAAATACCACAAGAATTCTAGAGAATATGCAATACCTCAAAGTTTCCCAGAAGGCTCAGACTTGTTACGGGGGGAGCACTAGAACTTAGAAATGGTTTCCCATGGCTGTCTGGATCACCATCTTTGTTTATACATTGTTGTGGGCTATTAAAAAAAGACAGAATAAATATAAAGGATAAACACATTTGCTTTTGTCTTCTGGGTACAAGCAGCTCTAGAAAGAATAATTTACTTAGTGTACTACAAAATGCTGTCCTAAAGAAGTAACAGTTGAACATTGCCTATTAAAACTTTAGCAGGTTTTCCAGTTAACTGAAAAAATGTTTTTACCAGCTTTACATTACAAGGGATAAAGACAAAAATTTGTTCTTTAGCTCCATTTGCAGGAATCAAAATATCTTATTTTCTCTTGTATGTGGGTACTTTTGTCTCATATTCTGAGATATATCTCATATTTACAACATCAAACGACCATACCAAAAGCTGTTTATGGTACATGTATTAATGTATGAAAGAGCATGATTGGCCCTTGTGTCCTAAAGAAGTAACAGTTGAACATTGCCTATTAAAACTTTAGCAGGTTTTCCAGTTAACTGAAAAAATGTTTTTACCAGCTTTATATTACAAGGGGTAAAGACAAAAATTTGTTATTTAGCTCCATTTGCAGGAATCCAAATATCATATTTTTTCTTGTATGTTGGCACTTTTGTCTCATATTCTGAAATATATCTCATATTTCCAACATCAAACTACCATACCAAAAGCTGTTTATGTTACATGTTTTAAAGGGCATGATTGGCCCTTTTTAAAAGTCTGGTTCTCTGAACAAGTGAAGACAAAATGTTTAACATGTTCAACATAAATACAACACAAAAATACCATTGGTTTGAAGGAGAATCAACAATTACTAGCTTTTCTGTCTGAAAACTCAAGCGTATCAGACAGCATACGTACCCCTGCATGGGACAGAATTCATTCTGCCAGCAGCTCTCATTCCATGGCTATGTCCCAGAGCTGTGCTAACCTGGAAACTCCCAGAGCAACTCAGCTGCTAAGCCTTGTATCAAAATAAGGATTCTTTTGAAAGCAGTTTTTGGCTTTGCTAACATGCTTTGATTTTGCATATAAATATATATATATATGTACATTATGCCTCCCTCAAAAATCTCAATGTTTCTGGTAAATAAAACATACCTTCTTGCAGACAGACATTTCAACAATGATGAATCCAGATCAAAGCACCCAGACTGTGTTTTCCTTTGAGGAACCTCAACAAGGAAAGAAGATGTTAATTTGAAAACCGAACCGCTACCACAGAAAATTTTGCCAAGTAAGCACAATTTGCCAAGAATTTTCATGACATTACAAAATTACAAAAACAGAGCAGAGAATGTAAATCCTATACATTTTAAACTTAGTGAAGAAAGTTCTAGGATTATTAATGATGAGACTGGAAATTCTGATTAACAGGAAGTATTTCAATAAAGACATTCAGGAAGCTGATGTCTCTTTGGAACAGAATATTACTAATAAACAGGCTGTAACAATTCCCATCCAATTTCCCTGAAAATATTACAGCCTTTACAGGCAATGAAGAATAAAGCATATCATGTGTTGACTACAGGACATCACTACTTCAGTAGTTTTAATAGCAACTGCCTGTTTTTTAAAACTCCTAGAAACCCACCAAGAACTGCAACACTTCCCCAGTGTCTGCCTTAGCAGCTTTGTTCACTAAATCATTCCATTACATCTCTGGTTACTGAAGAATATACAGTACAAACTGTTCACAGAAACAAAGGCTTTGGAATAATGGGCAACCAGGTGTTAAAAAGGAACACAAAACCCCCTAAAAGATAAAATGTTAAAGCTTAAAACACTGATCTTCAAAATGCTTTTTGTGCTCTAAAATAGCACCAAAGCATTGTTTCCATCCATTTCTCAATTTAATGCCACCTTTTGCTAATCTTGATATGATCTCAACAGTCTTTAATGTTTTCTTTTCCAAAATTACATTCAGCCTAATGTACATGTTAACTCTCATTTAAGCATTAATTTCCACTCACAAGAGTATTCACTGTGACACAAAGTAAATACACACTCTTCACCTAGGTATTTTGTCAGATTTTATACCACGCACAGACATTAGAAGAACAAACAGTCCCTTTCTCACTGAAAGAATTTCAAGAATAACTTACAGGACTTGAAAGCAGAGGCAGTCCAGTTCTGGGATGAAAAGCCTTGGTTGAAGTTCCATCCAGGGATCGAAAATTGTGTTTCCGCCATGTATTTGTGTGTTTTAGAGGAGGTGCTTTCTGCCAGCAAAACAAATTTACTGAGGTTACCAATGGGATATTTCAGTGCCCTATCATGGTAATGCTCCCTTGCTGTAAGGGAGAACACTCCTGACCCAGGTGGATCTACATCACACTAGCACAGGATGAAACACTCAACAGAAATTCCCCTTGACTCAATCTACAGTTACACAGCCTGCCCCTAACAGATCACATTCCATACTCAGACGGGTGTATTTCTACAAACCAGGATGCCTCACTTCCCAGGGAAACAGTCATTCATATCTCTGTCACCATGAGGGGAATAGGACAGTTATTCTCCATGCTAAACTGATGAAGTTTAGGGGAGGTACCACTGGCCAAATTACCCCATCACACAGAATCATTTGACAGGTCACCTTGTCAGCTAGGCCATGGCACTAAATTGTTTCTTGAACACCTCCAGGGATAGTGACTCCACCACCTGGGCAATCCATTCCCATGCTTAACCCTTTCCATGAAGAAATTCTTCCTGAGTTACTTGCAGGCCAAGACTGCAATGGTAATAGCAATCCATTCCCATGCTTAACCCTTTCCATGAAGAAATTCTTCCTGAGTTACTTCAGGCCAAGACTGCAATGGTAATATGCTGCTACCTGCAAGGTCAGGCTGAAACTGCCCTTCATGCTGGCCCTTAGCAGACAGAGGGTACAAGCTGTGTGACAAAGGGCAGCTAGAGGAATTATTGTCTGTTCCCACATGTACTTACCTGTACATCTGGGTTCTTCTGCCGCTCACATTTAACCACATTGTCTTCTGCAGGTTTCTTCTGAGAAGTGCTTTGAAAATCAAGGCCTGTTGGGTCTTCATTTTCATCATGTGCAGATTTTGTTTTATCTTGTTTGGTTTTGGTTTTGAAACTGTCATGGTCTTTATTTAAATAATTTTCAATACTAACAAGTTGTGTATTTTGCTCATAAATAATTGGTTTTTTGGAGTCTCTATCTAAACACTTGAGCTCATTTTTGTGCAAAGAGTCAGATACCGGTATCACAGTTGATTTTTTTGTACCTTCAAGTATTCTGCATTTTTCTATCTGTAAATTATTAAAACTGTCTGTGCCATTGTTCTCACTTACAACTGTTCTTTCTTTAAGTTTATTTGTGCAAATCTGTTCATCAATGCTGCTGGAATTTGAACCCTGTTTCATTCTATTGGTTATCTGGTCTTTCTGTGCATAACCAGAATGTATTTCTAATTTATCTGGAATTTCAGATTTGTTTTCTTTAATACATGATGATGATATGTGAATGCTACTAAATGCATGAGAAGTTTTATTTGAAGTCTGATGAAATGAATTTTGGACAGCTTCACTGGGTTTTGCTAAAACCAATTTTCTTCTTGCTTGGACTTTTAGAGAAGTCTTCAATTCTCCATCCAACCTAGAAGGACTGATAGGAGTATCAGGTGTCTTTGTCCCCGATTTACTGCTGTCTTCTAACAAAGAAAATTTTGATTTAGTAGAAGAAACAGAAGATGGTTCCTTGCCTTTCTTCAGCAAATTTTCATCTTCATATGTACTTCGGAAAATTTTTGACGTGACCGGACTAGCCTCATGCACTTTGAATGGATGTCCAGCAACATGGGAAGTAGCTGGATCACAATGAATCAAGTGCTGGGCAATCCTTGCTATCACCTCCTGCCGCTCCTGGAGCAGGGAATCAATCAGGGGGTTACCCTCTCCTGCTGACTGACGGCCACAGTGGCTCCCTGGAACACGGGCATCGAGCAGGGTGACCTCTGGCACTGCTCTAGTTTTGCCTTCATCACCATCCTCCTGTATTGCACTGTCTAAGTTGGCAGCAGGAACAGGGGAGCTTTCCTTGCTTTTCCTTGGCAAGTTTTCCTCTTCGAAAGTGCTCCGAAAAGCTTTTGGTGTAGCTGAGATGTTTTCATGTGTGGTGAATGGACGCCCAGCAACAACTGGTGAAGTAGCTGGATCACAGTGAATCAAGTGCTGAGCAATCCTTGCAATGACTTCTTGTCGCTCTTGAAGTAAAGAGCCTATCAAAGGATTGGTTTCTCCTGTGGGCTGATGAGAGCCATGGCTATTTGAAACACGGGAATCAACCAGAGAGTAGGATTTAAAAGTTCTAACCGGTGTTTCATGAGACTGTGTCTTATTGTCTGCTGTGGCATTATAGCACTGAACTTTAGACTGAGATGCCCCAAAGTCAGATCCAAGTCCAGTAGATGGATAAAGCTTCAAATTTCTAAAAGATGTAGTAAATTCAGGCATCTTTTTTCCATTAAGTAGGCCTTCAGGTGTCACTGTCCATGTCTGTTTCCCACGAAAACGCAGGGGACTGGAAGTACTGCATTGCTGAGCAGCACCGGGATCGCTGCGCTGATGGAACTTGCGCTCTTGCATTTGCTTTTCATAAAAGCTAAGGTTGGTGTGAATACTACAGGTCAAAACTGGGTAGTTGGACTGCCTGGGCAAGGACTGGACGCTGACCCTCAAGGCCACATTGTGAGAAACATTAGGAACAGGAAAGACATGCTCAGTGGGTGTCTGGGAGAACGTCCATTGCAAGTCCACGTCTGCAGCGCTCACCCTGAAACAATACCAAAGGGCATTTACAAAATTAGCTAAATTAAAAGTTTTTCATTATCTACTTTGTAACAAATATCTAAGAAAAAGCACTAGAAACATCAGCAACTGCTGTACTTTGCATAGTACACAAATCCTATAGAACTGCCAAAGCACCAGGCCAACAATATGCCACCTTCTGAAAGCAAGCAGGAAACAGGGGAGAAGAATGATTTCAAGACAAGCTGAAGCAATCTGCAAAAAGCAAAGAAGCATTTTTCCATTGCAGACGTACCTGTACAGGATATTTCGGGGAACAGCACCATGTGAAACACTCAGCCACGCGCTCAGCTGGGAGAAGAAAACAAAGGAGCGAACAGCCAGTAAAAGGGTCTTCTCTTCTATAAATCGATCTCCACTCCTAAAGCATTTAAAGACAGACACATGAGTGTTGGTAAGAATATTCAGAGACCTATTAGAACTAGAACATTGTCAGATCTTTGGTCAGAAAATAAAATATAGCTAAATCAAGCAAGGCAAAAACTCCTCAAACATTTTGAAGATTCCAGAGCCTGATTTGCTTTTATACACATGAAAAAATTTGACATAATAAATGTTACATGTTACCATTTGCAGCCAGGATCATTTCATACTCTGCACTGCACAATGGACACTGCAAAAATTTTGAGTATAAGATGACTAAAACTGAAATGCTTTGATTTCACTAGCAAACAGTGGTTTTCTTAGATCAGTCCTCATGGCAAAGAGCCAGTTCAAAAACACTAACTGATTACTTTAAGGACCTAAATATGACAAAATTCTTTCAATTATCAACTAATCCTCATATCCAACTTACTGTCGAGGAACTGGCTCCAAAATCCACCTTTCCAACAGCAATGCATCTTGTTTGATTGCAGGATCATTTAAATCATTCCCCTCTGTGGTGGGCCCTTCATCACTATAGCAACAGTCTGGAAGTAGCATCACTTCTACCATGATTGGAATATTGTTCTTCCACAGAAGCATAACCTCAGATCTGGTTCGCCTGGCCTGACGACACTGAGGGAAAGCAAAATGTCAACATACATTAGCCATAAAAATATTAGCCAGATTTAAATGTGATTTAAAAGCACATCCCAAAACACTAGCGAAGGGTAAAGGTCAAATTCTGTTTGGTTTCACCAAATCAGAAATAAGATTCCAGAGATATTAAATGAAAAAACAATTAACACATCCTTTACAGTTGCCATTTGAGCAACTTTCTTTAGGAAATTTAAAAAGCTTGTAAAAATGCATTTCCCCAACCATTGTACTTTGCTACCTTGTAGTTATCTCTCCACAAGGCACCCTCTTGGGTAGACAGACTCAAGCAGTATCTTTAAAAATTCTGTTTTTTGGAGCAGGCTAACTTCTGCATGAATATAACTTAAATTCCCACAGTACTTAAGAACTTTTACTTGAGAGATGGGATGCTCCAACCTTACTCCCAAACAGCCTGGCTAGATCTGATGTGCTTGTGTTTTTTGTATCACTAACTTTTCCAGAACACCTGGAAAAGCAAAAAGTTAGGCAAGCCAGCCTACATTTTCTCAAAAGAAACCCCAGACCAGGAATACTAAGTATAGTGCTTGTCATTTGCATAATAAAGATTCAAACAGGCACTGCATTCAGGTAGTGTGCAGAACTTCATGTTCAAGGATAAAAGGCTTAATGATCTCTCATTTTAAGGACAGATCTATTATTAGCAGGATACTGAATTACACACTCATTTAAATGAAGGACTGCCAGAAAGCCATTGTTACTCATGCTGAACTCTGAATCCACTGTGGGGCTCTTGGCTGATTTTAACCACGGCAGCAAGGATCTGTGACATGAAATGGGTGCCACCACCATACCTGAGCCAGTTTGTCACTGCATTCATGCTTAGTTGTTGGTGGCTGACTGGACTGTGCTGGTGGGCAGTGGAAGCCCTCTGTCCTGCCCTTGATCGAGTACTCTGGGGTCCGGCCCTCAGTGATCAGCAGGGCCAAGGAGACCAGGAACTCCTCAGCTTCATACTCAAAGTATTCATCCAAAGTATCTGCAAAAAGACAAAAATTAATGACATTTGCTGTATAACAACTGTTGGCTGACCCTGCAGTTTGTTTCAATTACACTTGAAATGAGAGTGGGCTATGGGAAATGGATCTTTGTGTCAGACTGGCTGCACTCCCCACAAAACCCACCACTCCTCACTCCAGCACCACAAAACTTTCCTTATCTCGTAATGTTGTCACTACAAACAAAGAACTTTGTTCTTCTACAGCTTTTCTAGAAGACAAAAGGTTTCCTGGGCTCTTCTAATGACAGTATGACTTGGCATTGTTATTATCATCTGACAGATGGAATAAGAAGCCACAATATATCATAAAGTAGATTAAAAATTGAAGAAGAAAAAGAAATATTTACTTCTATTATGGAAAAAGTGGGACACAATGTTCTTTAAGATTTTTATTGCAAGTCCCTCCTGCTGAGAGCAAGGCTTACTTCAGAGGTCCATTTTTAGTTACCACTAACACATAGGAAATGTTCTGAAGAAACATACAGACTATTCATTGTTTTGTACCACGGTCAGTCTAAACTTGTGCAAAGAATGAAAACTCAACAAGTCTCTGTAGACAAAGCAGCAGCTGGCATTGCTCTCCATGAAGAGCCCTGGCACACTCAGTTCCTGCAGAGCTGAGGCACCATTTTATGGTGTTTTATAGAGCACCCTTCTCCTCCTCCTCCCTCATCACGAGGATGTCAACCATCATTCAAACAGATTTAAGTACAACCAGATCATGTCGTTCCCCTCACTGCTTCAAAACACTTCAAGTTTCAAAATTATTTAATTACTGAAGAGGTTACAGAAAACTCTCTTTTTCATGAAAGCTAGAATACATTCCCTTCAAAGTCTATTTTAAGAGCAGCAAAGAAAAGCTGGTGGAGGCAGGGCTGCCAGCAGTTCTTTACCTTTATTTTGATGCTTTAGGGGAACAAAAGCACCTGACATCTTCACAATTTTAGCTTAAATGTCCTATGTCATCCACCAAAACTGCCACAGGGAGAGAGTTAATTTCTATTCACGTTTCAATTATCATGCATAAAATACCTTTCAGAAGTCTTTTCTGTCTTGGTCCCCTAATAGCAGAGCATTTTGGCAAACACTGCAGGCAGACTTAAGAGATGCATACAAGAATGCATGCATGGAACAAAAGCTCCAATTAAACGTGCAATTATCTGCATATGCAAATCATGAAGTGTGTAAAACTAGCTTTTGCATGTACATATTTGCCTAGCCCAGGCTTGTACACCATGGACCCCAGGGCTTACAGACTATTTGAAGGGATCTACACAAGGTAAGAGAAGTCAGCTCACTGCTGAAAAAGAGCCAAAGGACAGATGAATTACCCTGGAGGACTCCATATGGCATGTGAACAATACATTAATTCACCTGGCATAAGCTAAAATGGTCATTCACCTGATGGATGGCAAAAAATGTCTAATAAAGGGTGCATGAAAGATTAAAGGAATGGTAAATAACAGAGAAGACAAGCCTCTTAGGTAGTGATATGAGTCACCTACAAAATTAGGCACCTGCATTTTTTTTCCAGCTGGAGGTCTGGTAAACAATAGGTAAGTCATACTTGGGAATAGGAAAATGGAATTTGGGAAGACTCTGAAAAGGATTTGGATATACAACAGACAAAAAAAAAAAACTGCAGCATTATCTTGCTGCTAAGTTCATCTTTGTATGTCCAAAGGCCATGGTAATTGCAAGAAAATCACAGCAGGAAGGATCACTACTGGAGTGAGTATTTTGCTTACTCTGACATAGAAGTTCAAATATCTACAAAGTGTTCAAGGGGAATGAAATTAATTTAAACAAGAATTGTCTCATGCTTAGTAGGCTAAACAAAACTATTTAACCCCTACAAAAATCTGCAAGAAGAATTGGTTTTTGTTAAAATACGTAAAAACATATATGATCTTTAGGAAAAACTGTAAAGAGTGTGATCAAAATTAGCATAGCAAAATGTGATATAGCACAGTAAAATGTGATACCTGAAAATTTACACTAGAGAATTTTAAGTGGCAAGTACCAGTAAAACAGACATGCCCTAATTATTATTAGCAGCTTATCAGATGAAGCAGTAGACTTTCTATTATTTAGCTCTCTTTTTAAGAAGATAACCCATATGTTATTAAAATCTTTTGGACTTGACACAAATTAATGGACAAATCCTATGGCCTGAGTGCTTCTGCTGAGCAGTTAGATTTAGGCAAAAAAAACCAAACAAAACACCCCTTTTTTGCATTAAAAAGCCTCTGATACCAAAGCTTACATTGCATACCTAAAGTGCTCAGTGCCTTCACAGAGATGTCACAGGTCACTACAAGGCATGGACAGTTTAAGATGTTCAGATTAAAACCCAGTGAATAGTAAATAAGCAAGATCTAGTGAATAAAACCGGGTACATATTCTGAAACAATCAGCACTCAAGAATCAGATTACATACACAATATTGATTTATGTAAACAGATAAAGCTCACTTCCAAGTTCAATTTACAAATACTGCCCGTGTTCCTGTATCAGAACTATTATTTCAGACGCCAGTTTCTTGCCTTAAGAATGGAAGAGAAGGCCCAACTAGCTAAAGAGACATATTTATATAGTTATATTGGCTGCAGTTACAAAAACACCACATTGCTTCAAAATAAAAGTGACATCACTAAAAAGCCCCTGTTGAACCAGGAAATGCTGCAGCATTATAAAGACAGGGCCAGTACTTTAAAATTATGTCAGGAAGGTAATCAATCAGTTATTTGATCTGGACTTAAAAAAAATTAAAGCACAAACAGCAAGAGTTACCAAGAAATATATTTTTTCCTACAAAGTTCATGGGGCATAGTATCTTTTTGTAGCTTCACTAGATTTATATATAATTTAGCAACTTCTAAGAGTTTTCATATAGAAAAAGACCCTATAACCATTGAGAAGCCTGGTAATTGTTCCTATACAACAGACACAGATGATGCAAGTTGATGCAATTGAGGACAAGGGTGGAACGACATTTATAGAAACAGCAAACTCAGTGTTTAGTTAAAAAAAGTCTTACTGTGTGTGTGCTGTAACTGTGGTTTTGTGTATGAATCAGCCCTAGGACACATCATATATTGTGTACAGAACAACCTCAATCCTATAACCTGACTATACAACTATGGCTATTGTTCTGCTTCATTTCTAGCACTGCAACATGCCAAGTATATAGCATAAAATATGCATCTCTGCACTGTCTGGGATTTATTCTCCTTAAAATAGAAAAAAAAATCCAGTTAGTTGACACAAGGAAATAAGAATTAAAGTAATAAGGTACTACAGCCCTCTAATCAATACATTGAAATTAAAGGTTATTGACCAGGTGGGCACAAGAGATAGCAGCAGGTGTCAGACTACTCTAGAAAGAAGAAAGAAATTTAAATTTAGACTGAAGGTATTGTGCATAGTGCAAAGCATACAATACTGGAGAACTGAATATACAATACTGGAACTTTGTTTTCCTTTGCCTCCTGCACATATCAACCTCAATAAAGACTGATTTTCTACACCTTCTCAAAAAACAGAAAAGCCCATTTAACCAGAAATGTCAGAGTCTTCAAATCCTTGTCCTCCTACCTCCACTACACACAGGTGCATGAGCACTGGAATACAGAATTAAAACCCACAATCCCCCCCCCAAAACTGAAATTGGCTCACATCCTGAAACACCAATTAAGGTTAGTTATGTGGTGGTAGGGATTCACAAATCCACTTAACTGTAACCCAAGGACTCTCTGAAAACTTCAGTTAATTGAGTTATGCTTAGCTGACTCCTTTCCCAACTAGGTCACGCTTGTGCAGACCAACTCCCTTCCCTTTCCTATCACAGTTTTTTCTGTAGTAATTACAGAAGATGTTTTCCTGAAATACATGTTTTAGAAGAGCATTTAATGTGTTTTCTAGGCTTAGGCCAGGAAACAAAGACATTTGGTATCATGTAACCCATTGTGTTCCAGGTGCCACCAGAAGATGCATCTGGGAGCTGCTACCCTGTCCTGCCTGGGCAGCAAGGCAATAAAAGGCTCCAGCAGAGCATCTCCTGCCCTGTGCTACCCTCCCATCATGACCAGGCTGTGATACAATCACAATCTCTCTTAGTCCATGCTTATTTTATTGTCCTAGAACCTCTCATACTGCACTGCTCACCACAACTGTCTACCAAACTTGTCTTTCTCAGAAAGAGCTCATTTTTGCAAAGAGACTTCCTTCAAAGAAAGACAATTTAGTTCAACTGAAAGCATCCTTTAATCCTGACCTTTACTGATTGAGGGCTACTTCCTTTGAGAGTCTATGAAACAACTAATTATTGCCTTTAAATACGCTCTGCAACAGCCCAGACCTTTCCTGGAAAATCTACACACCTGTAATGGATTTTGAAGGACACTGATTAAAAGTAATCACATTCCTATTTTACTTAGAAAGCTGAAACCCAGTAAGCAAAATACTTAACAAAATATGGACTGCATGGTGTAGCCTGTTGGGATTCCCAGCTGATGCAGCCCTGCTCCTGCCCTGCCCAGCAGGCACTGTGGCATGGCTGCCCACATCTGCTCTCTCCTTCCTTCCTCAAGGACCAAAAGCACGGCTTAGGTGCTTGGATTTCTTTGTTGTGCTTTCAGTACAAGCAGTCCCTAAGGAGATACTTCAGTCCAAGGGTCCTGTGACAGGAGAGTCAGGTACACTGATGTTTGAAATAAGCCTCAAAGTTCATGTTTTCAGGTATTGCTTTCCTTCTACTAAATACAGATGTTGAAATTGTAATGATTGACCTACTTTACAATTTGTGATTTCATTGTGGAGCAAGAACGATTCAGCTGATACCATTTTTTCTTATTCCTTTTCTTTGTCCACTTAAGGGAATAAAAATCCAGAGAGTCAGGTACACTGGAGGAGAAGTGGCTGCACTGTCAGAACTCAGACCCCATCACCTCCCAGCAAGGGCAGTGCCCTGCATTGAA